TCAGCCGAAGCGGCGCTGAGTGAGTGGGGGAGCAGCAGTGCGCTGGGCTGGGCTGAGGAGCTGCTTTCAGAGGGGCCTGCTCGAGAAGCTGGGCTGCTGTCACCCTCCTGAGCCGCAGGGTTTGGTCTTGGCCAAAGAGGAAGTCGTAAGTAAGGAAATTATTATAATTCACAATTAACGACTTGTTTTTCCTTTAATCCTAAGGCTCTACATTTGCCAAAGCCAAGCCTGAAATTCCCTGGACATCACTAACTCGGAAGGGAATAGTGAGAGTTGTATTTTTTCCGTTATTCAGCCAGTGGTGGATACAGGTTACTTCCCAGCGTATTTTTATGTGGCTCCTGGTGCTCTACGTTATGCAGGGTAAGAGGTGGTAGCAGCCTGTGCCACCATCTGCTTTCTGCAAGGAACACAACATCATTTTGTAGTCCATAATCTAAAGCATAAGGATCCTGTCTGAGACCTACTTGATATAGATTTTGAGCTGTGTGGCACTAGCATTTGCAGAAATTATGAATCAGAGTAAAAGTAAGTAGTTAAGACAGAACAACAGGGATTTGATACAGTTTTGTCCTTTTCAGTCATAGCAGTTGTGTTGTATTTCATGATGCCCGTTGTGAATGCAAGTGAAGTCATGGGACCAATGTGCCTTATGTTACTGATGGGAACTGTTCACTGTCAAATAGTGTCCACCCAGGTCAGCAGACCGTCAGGAAACAACGGACTCAGCAGGCGGAGGAGGTGAGCAGTGGTAAAGGGTTCATAGATTGCTTGTGGTAGAAGTTATTGGGTAAATATCTTCTGGTTTTATGTAAATGTGTTATTTAATAATAAATGTGAGGATGAGTATTCTCTGTCTGGCTTGTAATCTCCTCATAACGGAGACAAACGTTGCAAATTTGCCAGGCTGTGGTAGGTCTGGTTGAGTTGTCTGTAGCTTTTTAATACAGCTCTTTTTGTGGCCAGAGGAGGGCATTCTGCACAGAAAGCCATCTTCAAGGTTTTGCAAAGCAGTCTGGTGTCCTGCTTTGGCATTAAACGGAGGGGATTGCCGATGCGTGTTGAGAACAGGGAAATGGTGACAGAGATGCCTGTGGTGGATTCATTGCTGGCGATTCTTTTGTGTATGTGGGAGATGTTGCAGATGTACATACATCTATCTGTACATACATGTGTTACAGATGGATTTGGATAGAGTTTTGCCTCCATTAGATTTCTACAGCAAAGATTTTGTCTAGATTTTGTCTAGATTTTGTCTGTTGCATCCTTTACTAGGGGTATACTGATGTCTTGTGGGTATATGCATAACTTCTGTTAATCCAAATAAAATTTTATTTGGAAATAAGTATTCTGCTTGCATCCCTTAAGAAAAATAGCATCTGAAAAGCTGTTCAAATCTGATTCAGATCTTTTAAGAAAGACTTAAAAGTAGCTTGCTCTGAAAATTTAATTATTTTTTAAAAAATCAGGAAGTTACGCAAATCTGTGGGTGTCGATGGGAACAGTTGGTCTTCTCCTGACAAAAACAGTAAAGAAGAGCAGCCTGAACCTGCATCAGTTCTTAACAATGTATTTACCATGCTTTTCCGAAGGAGGTATGTGATGTTCACTGCGTTTGTTTTAGTTGTAATGACACTGTGAACAATTTGATATGGGGAAAATGACGCCAGAATGTGTACTGTCCCTGACATCCCCTCAGTCTGCCAATTCGTTTCTTTTGAACTAAAAGCACTCTTGGTATTGCAGGAAGCTGATTCCTCATGAATTTTTATTATGTCCTCCTGGGGAGATCATACCCTGTCTCACAGTATAGCAAACACTGGGCGTTAGATGAGTTGCAGAAAGTGGTGGAGCTTATTGTTATTTGTCAGATGAGTGACCTTTCTTGACTGCGTATGCTCAAATTCTATTGCTGATTTACCTGATTTCCAGAAGCAATTGTGCCTTCTCGTTTAAGTTGCTTAGATAGTCATCCCACTTCACCACCTTACTTTTAGAAAAAGTAACTCGAGGAAAAGGAGGATAGATTGTTTGGGATAATATTTCAGTGTCTTCTGCTGTTTTCTCAGGTGAGTTTCTCGGTGAGTTTTCAACTGACAGATTCTTCCTCTTGATGAGGGCTTCTTGTTTTCTGAATTGCTCTTTTTTTTTTTTTTTTAAATAATAATAAGGAAAAATTTTCTTCTTGGTTTAGAAGTTTTAAGATAGTATTAGAGTTCCAAAAGAACCACCCGGTGAGAGTGAGCAGATGTGTCTCGTTAACAGAATCAGGACACACAGAGCCACTCAGCAGAAGACAATGATCTATTCCCTTTGCTATATTGTTTAATGTTGTACCTGTGTGGTAAGTGAAAGAGACCATGATGTTTTCCTCAGAGTTTTTCTCTAACATAAAAGCATTTAATTGTATTTTCTCTCACAGGATTAGAAGAGTAAAGTCGGTAGCTGAGAAGGGGACTGAGACAGAAAATGTTGTGAATGCTGTGGACAATGATATTAAACACAGACATGCCAGATCTGAGTACAGGCTGTTGCACTTCAAAGAGAAAAATAAACTTTCCAATGGGGAAAAGAACCATCAGGTACTGGCAGGAAAGATCCATTTGAAGTTGCAAATTTCAGTGTATTCTGTGGGATTTTGGCTCTGCTAGCCACCAGCTTGTAGATACATCTGTTCTCCTGGGCTCAAGGTTGCTTGTAAGACATAGCTGAGAGCTGCTGCTGCTGCTTCTTTCTGGTCTTGCCAGCTCCGTCCCACCCAAGATTCTCTCATTACCTCTGTGGCAGGGCAAGGGCAGGGGTGACCAGGTAAAATCTGGGATGTTTCTGTGATGCTAAGTTGGATTCTGTTTCTGCATGTTCAGTAGAGATCATCTCCCGCTGGCTTTTGCAGGTAATTAGCGATCACTGCGTATGCCGGTGTGGCAGCAGCTCTGGCTTTGAACCTTCGGTTCACTGTGATTTGGGCTGGTCCGTTGCTGGTGCCTCAGTCTGACTTTGCTGTGTTTCCAGGATGACTGCACCAACAGAGGGGCCATTTCCGATGAGCTTTCCAGTGAGGAGGATGCTGAAGCAATGGCACAAAGGATCTTGTTGCGCCAGAATGTAGAAGGGGCTTCCAGCGACAATAGCTGTGAAGAGAAGCAGAAGAGGCCTCTTGTTTCTCTGAACCAGGCTGTCTCGCAGGTACTCCTGGGGAATTTATGCCATTTTCCACACATTTTGTGCTGTGGATAATGAGTTGGTTTCTGTTTGGTTTTGGCAGGTCAAGCAAGCCCTGAAAGGTGCCAGAGACTCTGATAGTGTCGTGGAATCGGAACTAGAATCCACGTTATACAGTCAGGTACGGTCATAAATCCAAGAGGCAGCTTTTCCAAGCCTGGCCAGTGCAGGGACATGCTCCCCATCAGAACAGACCATTATGAAAAGATGGTGCTTCAGCTTCCTCTGGTGTAAGGTGTGGCCTTCCTCTCTGCTTGTTTGCAGCTTTGTAAATTTTGATCAAGGTTGTGAGTTTTGTTTTTGTTAAACAAAGTAGTAAACAAACAAAAAAAATCACTCTGTTGGCAGTGTAGTATGGTCCAAGCTGCCTCTAATTGCTCGTGTTGAATTGCTGCAGTCGCTCTTGTGGTTTGGGAGGCAACACTATCCTATATTTTAGGCTAATAAATTTTAATTTTAAAATGAAGAAATAAATCTGTTCTGTGATACACACTCATTCACTTTATAATACTTTGTTTATCTTGCCCCCTGCCACTCCCCCCACCTGAAAACAAAATAGAAATAAAAT